TCGAATATCTGTTTCAGCTGAAATCGGGTTTCAGCTGAAACTTTCGAGGCTCGGTCATCAATTCTCAAGGCCTGTTAGCATTGTTCATGATTCTAATCCGAGACAAAGATATGCAGTTTTTATTGATATGTTTTTTGTTTTTTTTTCTCTATTTTTTCAATATTTTGTTTTGCATTGTTTTAATTGCTGCGAAGTGCCTTTTTGGAAAATTGCAATAATATCACGGAGAAGTTACTTTTAGTTTTTATGCAATCTCTAAAGTACACGGAAAATTACAGGGATAAACATGTTTTTTAATAGAAAATTGCAATTGATTATGTGGTTAAAACAAAGAGAGTTTAACAGATTAAAAAGAATGCTCGACTAATTTTGATGAAATTAAATGTACCAAAGGCCAATTCGTCTTCAAAGTCTTGAACCGAAAAATTATATATTTTTTTGGGTAAACAATTTTTCTTACAAAATCTGCTAGCATGTTCAATTCTGCTGACAAACCCAACTCTGCCGACATGCTGATCTTTTGAAATTTTGAACAAAACTAACCCTTAGTTCTTTTGAGAGACTGATAATTTTTTCAAAGATTTTTATAAAAAATTGCTGATTGTTTTTTGGTCTATAAGTCCTAGTTTCTGTCGATGTCTTTATGATTATTTGTCCTAATTTCTGTCGGCTGTGTTTCCATTTTTCCGGAAGTCATTTTTTATTACCTCGTACGTTTTTCAAGCAGGTTTTTCCAAACCATGAAAGTGTTTTTGCTTAAAACAGCTATAATATTAAAAAGCAGTTATAAAAAATGTTATGAAAGTTATTCCGTAGTTTGTAAAATTTACCAACTCTGATTTTTAGTTTTTTTTTGGTTAAATGGGCTCGTTTTATATTATTTTGATTTTATGATGTGTAGTTTCACAGGCGAATTTTTTCAATTGATTTTGTTTGCTTCAACTGGAACGGGTCGAATATCTGTTTCAGCTGGAATCGGGTTTCAGCTGAAACTTTCGAGGCTCGGTCATCAATTCTCAAGGCCTGTTAGCATTGTTCATGATTCTAATCCGAGACAAAGATATGCAGTTTTTATTGATATGTTTTTTGTTTTTTTTTCTCTATTTTTTCAATATCTTGTTTTGCAATGTTTTAATTGCTGCAAAGTGCCTTTTTGGAAAATTGCGATATTATCACGGAGAAGTTACTTTTAGTTTTTAAGCAATCTCTAATGTACAAAGAAAATTAGAGGGATAAACATGTTTTTTAATTAAAAATTGCAATTGATTATGTGGTTAAAACAAGTGGAGTTTAACAGATTAAAAAGAATGCTCGACTAATTCTGATGAAATTTGGTGTACCAAAGGCCAATTCGTTTTCAAAGTCTTGAACCGAAAAAACATTTTTTTTCGGTAAACAATTTTCCTACAAAGTCTGCTAACATGTTCAATTCTGCTGAGAAACCCAACTCTGCCGACATGCTGACTTTTTGAAATTTCGAACAAAACTAACCCTTAGTGCTTTTGAGAGACTGATAATTTTTTTAAAGATGTTTATAAAAAATTGCTGATTGTTTTTTGGTCTATATGTCCTAGTTTCTGTCGATGTCTATATGATTTTTTGTCCTAGCTACTGTCGGCTGTGTTTCCATTTTTCTGGAAGGCATTTTTTATTACCAGTTTTTCAAGCAGAATTTTCCAAACCATGAGTGTGTTTTTTTCTTAAAACAGCTATAATATTAAAAAGCAGTTATAAAAAATGTTATGAAAATTATTCTGTAGTTTGTAAATTTACCAACTCTGATTTTTAGTTTTTTTTGGTTGAATGGGCTCGTTTTATATTATTTTGTTTTTATGATGTGAAGTTTCACAGGCAAATTTTTTTAATTGATTTTGTTTGCTTCAACTGGAACGGGTCGAATATCTGTTTCAGCTGAAATCGGGTTTCAGCTGAAACTTTCGAGGCTCGGTCATCAATTCTCAAGGCCTGTTAGCATTGTTCATGATTCTAATCCGAGACAAAGATATGCAGTTTTTATTGATATGTTTTTTGTTTTTTTCTCTATTTTTTCAATATCTTGCTTTGCAATGTTTTAATTGCTTCGAAGTGCCCTTTTGGAAAACTGCGATAATATCACGGAGAAGTTACTTTTAGTTTTTATGCAATCTCTAAAGTACACGGAAAATTACAGGGATAAACATGTTTTTTAATAGAAAATTGCAATTGATTATGTGGTTAAAACAAAGAAAGTTTAACAGATTAAAAAGAATGCTCGACTAATTTTGATGAAATTTGGTGTACCAAAGGCCAATTCGTTTTCAAAGTCTTGAACCGAAAAAATATATTTTTTTCGGTAAACAATTTTTCTTAAAAAGTCTGCTAACATATTCAATTCTGCTGACAAACGCAACTCTGCCGACATGCTGATTTTTTGAAATTTCGAACAAAACTAGCCCTTAGTTCTTTTGAGAGACTGATAATTTATTCAAAGATATTTATAAAAAATTGCTGATTGTTTTTTGATTTATATGTCCTAGTTTCTGTCGATGTCTTTATGATTATTTGTCCTAGTTTCTGTCGGCTGTATTTCCATTTTTTTGGAAGGCATTTTTTATTACCTGGTACGTTTTTCGAGCAGGTTTTTCCAAACCATGAGTGTGTTTTTGCTTAAAACAGCTATAATATTAAAAAGCAGTTATAAAAATTGTTATGAAAGTTATTCTGTAGTTTGTAAATTTACAAACTCTGATTTTTAGTTTTTTTTTTTTGGTTAAATGGGCTCGTTTTACATTTTTTTGATTTTATGATGTGTAGTTTCACAGGCCATTTTTTTCAATTGATTTTGTTTGCTTCAGCTGGAACGGGTCGAATATCTGTTTCAGCTGAAATCGGGTTTCAGCTGAGTTTTTTGAGGCTCGGTCATCAATTCTCCAGGCCTGTTAGCATTGTTCATGATTCTAATCCGAGACAAAGATATGCAGTTTTTATTGATATGTTTTTTGTTTTTTTTTCTCTATTTTTTCAATATCTTGTTTTGCAATGTTTTAAATGCTGCGAAGTGACCTTTTGAAAAACTGCGATAATATCACGGAGAAGTTACTTTTAGTTTTTATGCAATCTCTAAAGTACACGGAAAATTACAGGGATAAACATGTTTTTTAATAGAAAATTGCAATTGATTATGTGGTTAAAACAAAGAGAGTTTAACAGATTAAAAAGAATGCTCGACTAATTTTGATGAAATTTGGTGTACCAAAGGCCAATTCGTTTTCAAAGTCTTGAACCGAAAAATTATTTTTTTTTTCGGTAAACAATTTTTCCTAGAAAGTCTGCTAACATGTTCAATTCTGCTGACAAACCCAACTCTGCCGACATGCTGAGTTTTTGAAATTTCGAACAAAACTAACCCTTAGTTCTTTTGAGAGACTGATAAATTTTTCAAAGATATTTATAAAAAAAGTGCTGATTGTTTTTTGGTCTATATGTCCTAGTTTCTGTCGATGTCTTTATGATTATTTGTCCTAGTTTCTGTCGGCTGTGTTTCCATTTTTCCGGAAGGCATTTTTTATTACCTGGTACGTTTTCAAGCAGGTTTTTCCAAACCATGAGTGTGTTTTTGCTTAAAACAGCTATAATATTAAAAAGCAGTTATAAAAATTGTTATGAAAGTTATTCTGTAGTTTGTAAATTTACCAACTCTGATTTTTAGTTTTTTTTTGGTTAAATGGGCTCGTTTTATATTATTTTGATTTTTTGATGTGTAGTTTCACTGGCGAATTTTTTCAATTGTTTTTGTTTGCTTCAGCTGGAACGGGTCGAATATCTGTTTCAGCTGAAATCGGGTTTCAGCTGAAATTTCTGAGGCTCGGTCATCAATTCTCAAGTCCAGTTAGCATTGTTCATGATTCTAATCCGAGACAAAGATATGCAGTTTTTATTGATATGTTTTTTGTTTTTTTCTCTATTTTTTCAATATCTTGTTTTGCAATATTTTAATTGCTGCGAAGTGCCCTTTTGGAAAAATGCAATAATATCACGGAGAAAATACTTTTAGTTTTTATGCAATCTCTAAAGTACAAGGAAAATTACAGGGATAAACATGTTTTTTCAATAGAAAATTGCAATTGATTATGTGGTTAAAACAAAAAGAGTTTAACAGATTAAAAAGAATACTCGACTAATTGTGATGACATTTGGTGTACCAAAGGCCAATTCGTTTTTGAAGTCTTGATGAAAACTTCAAAAACAATTTTTTTTTCTAATTAAATGTTTTTTGGTATTATTGTTGAAATATACTGTCCTTTTCTTCGAAAGTCGAAACAATAGAGTTGCTCAATTAAAATTGAAAAAAAATTCAGCTACTGTTTCCTATTAATCTCAAAAGTTTTCAATTTTCCGCTTATTGTTGCGATTTTTGAAAAAAGTGACGGAATATCTGTACTCAGGGTGGTATTACTGGCTAATTTTCACGGAAGTTTTTTTATATCAGCTGACAATTATTGCTGTTTTGAGCGCAAAATTTACACTTCGACAAAAACAGCCATTTCCGACTAACTTTTTCATATCATCCAAAAGGTATAGTTGTCTTAAGCTCAAAATCAAAAACAGGTTTCACTTATGATTATTTTTTGTAAAATTAAGGAGATTTGACGATTGCCAAGCAAGCTAATTGTCATAATTGGTACGTTACTGGGAGCTAAATTTATCAAGTTGTTTTCCTATATGGCCTTTGGGGTAATTTTTTTGAAAACCTATCAAATTTTTTCTTAAAGCGAGTACTGCTCCCTTGAGTTACTCGGAACAAGAGGTAGTCGGAACATTCATAGCTTCGATCTGATACGAGCAGTCTAGTTTTGAAAGATATCTATAGTCATAAGAAAAAAACTCCATTTACCAATTAAAATTTAAGAATGCTGCGAAACTGCCCAATTACCCGATTTTTTGCTAAGTCCTAAACTTAACCTCAACCTTAGACAGATAATATAAACTTTAATCCACGAAACTAGTCCAGATAGACCAGATTAATCAGATTCCAGAGACTGGAACTGTTTGAACACGTTGCCCAAACAACATGCGATTACAATTCCGAACCAGTGCAACATTCCCAAGATGATCGCGACGAGTGCCATCACGAGAACATGTCGGTTAATCTCGGCTTCGACTTCGTGGACACATAAGTCGTAAAAGATGGCGACTCCGCTGTCCGGGTATCCAGTGCCGCATCCGACTGTGTTGTTGACGCAGCAGGAGTCGGGGACGTTGCCGGATCCGAGTGTGTCGTTCCAGGAAGCCGGACCGCTGGTGCCACAACATCGGAAGCCCCTTTGGATGTGATCCCAAGCTCTACAACGTTATTTTTTTGAAGAAAAACAAAAAAATAATAATTTTTTTGAAAATATTACGACTCATGGCTGAGCCAAATGTTTCAAATTAACTATCCTGAGGATGATTGAATAAAAGATAGCTAGATCTTTCATAATAGTTTTCACAGTGTACTTTTAATTGTTCAAAATTGTTGCCGGTTCTTACGTGAGTTTAAAAGATAGAAATGACACTCCGTTGTAATAACTTTAAATGATATTCAACCAATTAACTAATTTTTTTTCTACCTCTTAGTAGGTTTATCCGTACTGTACTGTTCCATCGATTTTTTCAAACTCTTCTCAAAAACTTCCATGGCTGCATCTTTGTTCTTTAACAGGTAAAATCCCATGGAAACTTCCACGCAAAACAAGATGAACAGGAAAACTCCGAAGCCGTACAACATGCACGCACTTTTGGAGAAGGCTCCATAACAACCAAGAAACCCTACTATGAAAATCAGCAACCCAAGGGCTATTAAAACCCCTGAGCCGTTAGTAATATAGGAGACGTCAAACTCTTCGTAATCCCGAACACTGACAATCGAGTAAATTCCGACAGCGGTTAAGGAAACTCCGATACCCCAAAGAATAATATTCGCAACAATAAAGACGAATCGCAGAAGTTCTTCTGATACAGATAATCCTGCCATTTAAAAATAATGCAGCGTTTGTTAACCAAAAAAAAATGATTCAAATGTGCTTCATAACGTTCAAAGTGTCAAAATACGCGTTTAATTTTCTGAAAGGAACTCAAATAAACGTTTTTGTTTGAATAAGATATTGGAAAAATATGGATTAACAAAAAAAACGATCGTCACTGAGCTTTCAATATGTGACACGTTTGCATGTGAACGGAATTTTTGTGTTTTTGTTACTTTTTTGAGTCTGGCTGATGACGCAACAGATGTGAAATCCATTGTGATATCAGTCGGAAGAAAAATTCGCAAACTATTCATCTTAAGATCAAATTGAATTCAACCGAGGCTGATTTTCGAGCACTTAAAAAGGCCTTCTTTTGTTGCAGTGGCGGAGTTAGGGGGGGCGGGGGTCGCGGACGCCTTTTTCTTCCAGGGATTCGATCCCCTGCCGACCCAAAGGGTCTCACCTTTGGTACTCTTTTTAAGAAATCCAGTTTTGGCAGACCGACCCTAAAAATTTGCTAAAGGCGCCTTTGGCGCCAATATATACTAATTTTGAGGGATGAGCGCGCGCCGAAAAAAAGCGATTTTTTGGTCAAAATTTTCCAAAAAGTGCTCAAAAACGCCTTTTTTGGACTGTTTTTTAAGTTTTGCCTGCGGCGCAGAAAATTTGGCCAAAACGGACTAAACTGTGCTTAGGGAGAGAGCTCGAAAAATCAATTTGGTCGACCTAAAACAAAAGGTCAATAAAATTTTGGACATTTTTAGAAAATCCTAGATCCGCCCTTGTTTGGTAGTGCAGCTATTATTCCGAAGGTTATTTTTAGCTAAAACCGGCACTAAACGAGTCCAACCTACGAATGAGGCGTCGCTCCAAACCATGATTGCTTTTGGTTTGAAGAGTTATTAAAAATCGGCGCATAATTGAAAAGCTCAAACAATTATAGTTTGACCCATATCCGTGCATGAGCAACTTTACATTCATTTCCTTGCTGTTTTTTGAAGTTTGGGCCAACCAAAAGAATCACTTTTTGACCCAAAAGATAAAAATTGATCGAAAAATTTGTGAAGCAGGTCGACACATGAGTCGACAAGAGTCAATCATTATCGAAGGCTCGATAGTTGAGTCGACCAACCTTTATTCATTAGGCATGTTTTTTAAATTTAGATTTTCTTGTACAAACTGCCACCAAAAAAAAACATTTTGGTTCATCTGATTGAAAGATCCTGCCATGAAACAAAAATTTCAAAAAGATCACTAGTGCTAAGTGGATCATGATTGGGGGAGGGGTGAGTGTAGGATAGGACCCGTTGCTTTAAGATAAGCTATTGATTTCCAGTCCTACATGCTTTTTTTTCAGATAAAGTATAGAGTCTGTGAAGTGTTTGTATTGCAAAAAGGGTTAGCAATTTTCTAGATGGTTTACCACGGTGCGGAAAAATTAATTTTTGGAGTTTTGGAGGAAAATTTATAGTTTAGAAGAAAAAATTTTTTGTACTTCGTGGGAAAAATTTGGCGCGCGTTATCAAGTTGGTTTAGTTTGATGTAAATTAGGTTAAGATGTGAATTGGGTCAAGTGTCAAGTTTTTTTCTCATTGTTTCAATCATGCTGATCAACTAAATTTATGCTACCATTGTTGATTTTATAACTAACAGCAATAAATTGATTATATAACAAACAGCAACTATGCTTAAACTATATGGAATTAAGCTGAAACATACTGAAATTTTGAGAAAAAAAATCGAATCAAAAACTAAGTTGTGTAAATACAAATCACTGCTTCGTATGAAACTTCACCTCTAATTACAAATATTTTGATAAATTAATTAGGATGTTACTGCGTCGTATAAACTTCTACTTAGATAGAACAGATTTTGCAAGTTCGATGGTTTTCAATGAATTCCATCAATAAAAAAATTGAATTTTGTCGTTTTGTGTAAAAATAACTAGGTCTTTTTATGTATGGTCGTTCGTAATAACCGTATTAATTACGGTTCCGAACAATCTGTTTAACGATGCCAAATCGATTGCCTCTGAAAATTTGTTTATATTTTGATACAGTTCCTTGCCAAAACCGTCAAAAACACTTTAGTCGTCTCATTTTGCAAAAGCTAGTGTCTTGTAAGCGGGAGCTATATTTTTTCCCTAAACATCTTTTCTGACACAGTTTCAACTAGTTTCATTTTTTCAATTTTGTCTCCCAACTGGCGTAAAGGTAACGCCGTTGCTTTTCCTCACGAAAGTATAGAGTACAAGTCTCGGCCGATCTTTGTTTTTTTTTTTCAAGTTAATTCAAATTGAAAACTTTTTCCCGTTAAAAATTAAACTGTCGGACTTGCATTTGTCTGCTCCAATTTTGTCGACTTAGTTATCAAATCATGGATTTTGCTTGTGTTGCAAACCAATGTTTTTGTAGTTGCATGTGCGTGCAAGATTCCTTGAAGTTTCAGGTAAAATTTAAAATTATATTAAAAAAATTTTGTTCGACTCAATTTATGTCTCTGAAAGATTGTCGGCTTTGTTTTTTGCTTGTACGTTTTCTACCATTGCTAAATAACAAATCAAATGTCTTGCTTGGCAAGTCTCACTAGAATTGCGGTTTCATAAAACATGTATAATGAAAATGGATGGGATTGGGATTTTTATTTTATTTCGTTTTTATTGACGCTTTAGAAATTATTTTCACTTTTTTCCAATAAATCAACGCCGATTTTCAAAAACTGGTATCAAAAACTCCGATGTGTACCTTCATGATGCCCTAGTCTGATTTTACTTTATCTCACACTCTAGATCCTTGGAAAAAGTCGTTGGATAGAATATTTGACCTATATTGTTTGGAATTTTCTCTTTTTCTCAAAAATTACAACCCAAAATCTGAGATTTTGGATTCAATTGACAAAACGGGTTGTGGGGAACTCCCTTGCTTAATCACCCACGCCCACATTTTTTTACACGACACTTTTCTTGAAACTTTTTTGTAGATAACTATGCTGCTAAACTTGATTGCAGGAGTGTAACCAAAACAACAGATTCATGAAAAATGGCGGACTTTTAGAAAAGGTGGTGTTAAGTGTTCAATTGAGAATGGAAACAAAAACCGTCTCTGCTTAAGCGGCTACGATCTACTTCCAGCGGAAAAAAAATTGATCTCGACGAGTCAAGTTTTTGAACTTTTGAGCGTTTTTGTAGAAACTTTTTGACGTTTCTTAAAAACTACCCCATCAAATCTAAGGTAATTTTAATTTTGCGAAAAACATATGATGTCCTTGGAAAAATTCCAATTTCTCGAAAGTTTCCACTCTTCTCGCTTATTATTGTAGAAAACAATTAAGTCTTTGGACAAAGTCCATTTTGTGACTTTTTTCATTGCATCCCAAATCAGTATTACAAATTGAAAAAAAAATATCAAACAGTTACCTCCAGCTTTAGCTGGACCCCTCGTTTTCTTTTATCGCGGTATAGGAAAATGTAGGTTCACCAAGGTTTTTTTTTCCAACATTTTTCATTTTTTACCGACCTAAGCTTTTTAAGTTTGTCTTGTATCGCAAGTGGTGCGAAGCTCCGTTTTGCCTCTGTATTAGTTTATACGTACCTGTCTTTCCAATATAGCAGCATTATGTCCTACCAAAAACACAGAAAAATTAGAGATCGCTTTATTCATCTGTTTTTTTTTTCATGGTGCTTAGCCAACACTTAACCCTACTCTTGGATAGCTACAAGATATTTGTTCTCTTAAAATTAGATAAGATTGTCAACATTATTTGGACTACAGAAACTGGAACTATCTGAACATGTATTCCAGTCACAACACGGCTACAAATCCGAGCCAGTGTAACCCTCTGGAGATGTATCCAATGCCTCACCCTTGACGAAGCAGGAATTGGTAACCTTGTCGAATACGAGTGACTTTCCCAGGAAGCATGATTGGAAGCCCATCTGAACCTGATTTCAAGCTCTGCAACTTCATTTGTAGTTATAGAAGTAACAAAGTTGTTTATTACAAAATTTCAGCTCATGGCTGAAGCAATTATCTCAATTAGAAGGTAGAACAAAACATCTTAGATAATTACCAGGTAAAATCCACGTGAATTAAGATAAACCAATGACTCCGAAGTCGTACATCATACATGCTTTTTTAAGTAGAGTTCTTCCATGAAAATGATCTTGCCAAACCTCAAGAATAAGATTTATGTTAAAATTTTGAAAATTGTCAAAACGAAATTCTGTTTTCTCGTAGAAATATAATTTAACGCAAAATTTTGAATATTTTTTTTTGTAAATATCATTTTAAAATAAGTGCTGAGTTTTCTACGAGCGACAAATTTTCATTATTGTTTTTTGAGACTTTTTTGAATCTGACTGATGACATGACATAAATAAATTCCAATTAGACACAACAAGTGAGAAAACAATTTCAATTAAAAAATGATCCAAGATCAAGCTGAAATCAAGCAAACTAAAAATTGATATCTAATGATAACTATCAGCCTATAAGTGTCCCCCTAGTTGTTGCTATTAGTCAAAAAATTTGAGTTCTTCAATTTATCAATTTAAATTGTCCTAGTCGTCTAGTGCAACTATTAGCCTCAATTTACAGCCTTAGCAAGCACTAAAGGGTCCAATCTACGAATGAGACGTCACTCACCCCCTAGTTGCGCAAATTGATCGCTGAAGGCTTAATACATTACTGGAGCATAATAGAAACTCCCAGCCATTAGCGTGTGCAATCCGTAGATTAGCAATAGCCATCCACATCCCATGTTGTTGATATAGGAGTCGACCGAAGACCCATTTTTTGACCCAAAAAACAAAAGTTGACCAAAAGTCTTGGTCGATGAAAAGACAGGCTTGATAACTTGAATTGACCGACATGATCAACAATGATCAAACTTCGCAACTTAAAAATTGCACCGAAGAACTACTCCTTTTGGCTCATCTGAGCACGGATCTTACCTTGAAACGGAACAAAATCGTAGTAGTAGATGAGCAAAGAGATCAGGGAGGAGTGCT